AATAATACACCATTAATAAAACTACTGGACCAATATGATTTCCACGTATATTGTATCTTTTAGTTAGCTGATTTCGTTGTTAATAGTACAACACTTCGGTTGAGAAAAATGTTAAAAGTAATCAAACTAGTAGAAGTTCAAAAATAATATTTTGTAAATCCTCTATATATTAATTGAGGAGACACTAAGGTGAAAATCTTATGTGTCACTCAATGAGAGTTTCAAAGAATATGTCATTTAAATTAACCAATAAAAATATTTCAATTAATTCTACATATTCTTATTAATTGTATAGCATAAACCCTTTAATACATGTTTTGCAAATCTAAATCCAACTAAATGTAATATTTAGACTTATCATATCATCTACTTTTAAACTTTTTTTATATTTTAAAAAATTTTTATTATTATATTTGTGACAATATTATTTATTTTGTATATATATATTTAGATAATATGATATATAAAATATTTACACATTTCATTATTGAAAAATATATATTATTTTTTGTTTATTATGTCCGATAAATTCGTATAAATCTAAAATTTATTGATAGTATCAAAATATGTTTGATCAAAATTTAACTTGATTTTACTTATGCTTAATGCATATCATTTTGTAAGTTTATAAGATTAGAAATCATATGATTTGTCACACACGTTTACATATTAAAATAGATTATAAATATATATTTAATCCTACGAATCGAGATTGCAAAATCAGAAAGTGGTAGCCCATTAAAAAGTCCATATTCTAATAGCTCAGCCGAAATAATTAAGGCCCATTGTAATAAGTCAGCCCAAACTCAGCTCATATAAAGATGATATTGTCTAGCGTTTTTTTTTTTATCCAACAAAATAAGAAAAACAGACAGGGACTCAGAATCACGCGCCAAAATCGGAAGAACAAGGAAGAGAACAAAGACATATGACCAATGGTAAATCACACTAATCACTAATCGAGATTTGGGGATTTAGGGTTTCTGAAGAATCGCGTGAATTCCTGATTCATAATCTAATCGAGATTTGGGGTTTTAGGGTCTGTGGAATTGTGTGATTACTGTTTTTAAATTGATAACAAACTTACAAGTGCAGATTATTCAAGCAAGTAATAAAAATGTGAAACATAAAGAAAAGAAACAAATTTATTCTTGCGGTTTTTTTAATGGATAGAATCTCAGTTAGCCACTATCAGTTTAGCTCTTGCATCACCTCTGTTGATTTGGAATTGGTCACCGAGTCCGAAATGAGCCATTAGTAACCAGACAAAGTTGAGAAGCTCACCGCCTTTGCTGAGTTGAGAAGCATGTTCTTTGGAGTCACAATGAGTTGCTGCAAAGCAAAGTAACTCAACCCACACTTTGCTCACTACCTCCCACATGTTTTCTTCTCCTCCTCCGTGCTTTAACCGTATCAGCTCCTTTGCAAGCACGCTTGCATCGAACAGCACGGATTTGCTTTTGTCTCCTTTCACTCTCATAGGATCAATCTTTGTGTTGACATCGAGAATAGCTCGACTGGCTTGGTTCACTAGGTTTTCTGGTTCATTGCTTGATTTCTTGATATGCTTCCTCTTGAAAAACTCATTTGCCTCTTCGCACGTGTCTCTGAAACGTATCTTTGATATTCCAGAAACCGCTGACATGAGAGTTGGTTGCGTTTTGAGGAGGTACATCATGTAGTCAGAAAGGGTTTTGCTGAACTCTCGGTTAGTGTATTCTTCTTCTTTCTCCGTGATTACTTGGTCTATTTGTTCTTGGTAGAAGAGTTCTGTGGCGATGTGCCACAGTAGAATGCTCTGATCGTAATCCTTCTCTGTCACGTATCGCAGAAGTTTCGCGTGGTCTGGTCCATCTCGGGTCTTTTTGCTTAGTGTTTCAGCTAAAGTCCAGTCTCCTCTAGCTGAAGATATACCTTTGGCACTCTCTTGGTCATCAGCAAACCGCTGTTTGCGTTGCACCTCTTTGAATATGAACTCCCATAGTTCTCTGGTGAGGCGATCACTGGTTGTGAATCTTATCTCTTCGACCAATTCTTTGATACCGAAAAAGTCTAGGACTTCGTTGACCAAAATTCCGAGGATATCGATCAAAATACCGAGGAAGCGAGGCAGTGCAAAAAAGTAACGGAGAAACACTCTAAGAGGATTAATAAGAATGGTACGGATTACCCGATTTTCCCTCGACAGATTACTAAGAAAGCGGTCATTACGAAGCTGGAAAGTTCCTTTGTTCATGGCTCTGAAACCAAGCGCGAGTCTTCGGGTGATCTTGTGAAAGAAACTGTGTATCTTACCCTTGGTATGATGGATTCTCTTGGGACGTATCTTCAAGCAGTGTCCAATCAAGTTGTAAGCATGAACATACTCAGACCATCTGCGAAACATGAAGTTTCTGTTGAGCACTTGGTGTCCATCCTTGAACCTTTTCCATTTCGGTGTCTTGAAATCAAGGATCCAGTTGAGAAGTCTGTCTACCCAGGTGTCCTTCTCGTCCAGATCCTCCTTTAGATCCCTCATTCTAGCGATGGTCCAGTCAGATACACAGAACATGAGAAGAGCAATGGAATCAAGAGCTATTCCACATATTAGCAACGCGTAAGTAAGGGCAACATCGAATCCATCATATTGATCTTCCTTTTTCATCTTAAAGAGACAGAGAGACGCAACAAGGCATCCCAAAGCTATGAACCGGAACACAGCACCAGTCCAGTTATGCAAAATAGCTGCTTTGGTGAACAGACAATCGTAGATGAGGCCTAGCTCGACTTCGATGATACGCAAAGCTTCTACTGGGGTCAGCAAGTCAAAGAATTTCCTGCTCTCGTTGCGCTGTTTATTAGTGAAGATTTGATCAACAATAAGACCTTTGAAGATGTTAAAGTACTTGTAAGCATACTGGACAACTTGAAGGGCTGTCAGATCATCTTCGGGCCTAACTGAAGTATTACCTTCCCGTCCTTTCTCTGGATCCTCCACCACGATTACCTCGGTCGGCATATTCATTTTCTTCTTAGCTGCATATTCATTCATGAGCTTCGCGTAATTAGCGCCAGGGTCAGCTTTCTGCAGCATAGAATCCTTGAACTTGTCAAGACTCCCTGAGAACAAGGCAGCTGTTCTCTCGACATACTTGATCACTCCCCCCGCAAGCATGATTACCGTTGGAATCACAAGCCTGTTCGGTATAGATAACAAGATGACGTAGACAGTGGCGACCGCTTGACAGACAAGGCTAAACAAGTGTCTGTCCCAAAGCTCGTTATCCTCAAGGGCAAGTGCTGTGATGGTGTCTGGACCTCCAAGGTGCAAGAGAAGGAAAGGTGACCAAAAGGCTAACAGCTCGCGGTTCTTGGAATGTTTTTCAGATTCTTCTTCTTGACTGTCTGAGATCTGCCCAACCGCGTAATCAGCTGCCCAATCGGCAAGAAGATAAGCTGACCATATGAGCACAAGGAAGAGCTTCTTAGCGGTGCGTCTTCGGCTCGGTGCAAAGAATATAAGGATTGATTGGAGGAAGAGACTGAGTATTATGACTCCACGAATGTTCCATTTGTCCCAAAGTTTCTTCACAGGTGGTGGAATCATCTCACCCATCTTGTCTTTCTTCTTCTTCTTGGTTCACACTGTGGATGTTTACAGTAAGTGGGTAAGGTTACTGAATGTTGTTGTTCCACATAAAGTTTTTATGTTTTTTCTTTGTTTATATGTTGTTTTGAGACTTGAAATAGAAAAGCAAGTGTTACTGTTACACTAGCAGAGTACAGTGTTTATACCTTGCTTATACTCAAATATTATCT